TCGTGGGTTTTTAGCTTTTATTTTAGATTTTTGGTTTTCTATTTACGTGACTTTACCGAAAGAACCAAGAATATGTGGCTGGAAACTGAATTCCGGATCATGCGTTCATTGTAAAGACTGACTGCGCCACGCGTGACATTACCACGGCACTTTGAGGCCACGTGAAGTGTGAAAGGCTCGCTGCTGGAAGGTCACGGGACAGACCCAGGTGCCATGGATTGAGACTGACTGAGACGACTGGCAGATGCACCACCTGTGCTCACCCACTGCGCAAAATCGCTGCGTTTTAGCCGCACTGGCACTCTGCTCGTCGTTTTGAGTGTCGCTCCTCTGCCCTTCTGCTGTTGTTGGAGGGCGACTGCCTCCGACTGCCCAGTAGCGTCCGTCACGAGCCTCCTGCACAGAAGCCGACCTTGACACCACTGGCACCAGTCTTCAGCAAGTTCACTCAGCTCCACATCCTTGTGTACCGCATCAATTCCATCTTGTCTCTAGCCCGTGCCACACACATTTAGCCCCCTCTATCCGGCCATAATGAAGCTGCTTGGGCTGAAGACACAGGGGGGACGCAGGCTCCATGACCTACAAGGCAACTCAGACACAGCGAACGCTCTACACTAAATTAGGTGACTGATGATCTGGCACTCGACGGTTCACTGCAGTCACTCGCCCCCTGGCAGTCCGTTGCCTCCTTGTCACTCTTCTCTAGCTACTACCGTGGTCAAAGTTCCCATGAACTTCACTCATTGATTTCTCCACCCATGTTGAGGAGTCGGTTTACCAGACACTACTTCATCTCATCCACCACCACTATCACTGCAGGTCACGACAACCTACTCATTAACCCACTTACCCACCCACCCACTCACACGCAACACTGCAGGACACAACTACTTGTGGACTCACTCATTCACTCACTCATTCACTCACCCACCCACGCACTCACTCACCCATACACCACACTTCTCTACTTCTTCTCTCACACTGATCCACTCTGGTATTCCCTCCTAGTCCCATCATCATCACGTCATCCTATCTCTTCCGCTCCCAAGCTCTCACAGTCAATAACCTCGCTCAATTCAAGACATACGTTCCACTCTTATCTATTAGAACTTGAAAGTGATGGTTTGTGCTAGATTAGAAGCTTTCGTGACTGCAGGAATTACTCTTTGGTTCTTTTGGTAAAGTCACGTAGAAAATAAAATTTATTAATAATAGAATACGACGTTTCGATTGCAACACAAGCAACCATTAGGTAAGAATGAATGATGAAACACAGACACGGAAACAACATAGGCAGACACACATGCAGAGAGAGACACACCGAGCGAGACACACACCAAGACAAACGTCGTATTCTATTATTCATTTTATTTTATTTTCTACGTGACTTTACCGAAAGAACCAAAGAGTGATGGTTTGTGCTCGCCGCTTCATAGAATTGGCTGCGAATCACAACAATAACAATCTGGAACGTTGTGGTATTGGCGCGGTCGTTCTTATAGCGCCGGGCGATCATCGCGCAGAGGAAGGTGCCAACCGCTGGGGTTCACACGATACACTGTCTGTGGTAGTTTAGCAGTTGAGGGGGCGATGTTGCTGCTGCTGCTGTTCGATTTTGTTCTTGCTCACGATGACAGCAGCAGCAATGAGCTCAGGAGCTTTTGGCCAGTGTCGGGGGTCTGCTGCTGGCCACGAGAGGGCTTCAGCAGAGAGAGAGAATTCGTAGAGTTTTGTTGTTCCTCCTCCTCCGTTGAATGAGCGCAGACTGCACACTGGTTTACTCTGTTGGGTTGCATGGCCACAGTCACACTCCTATCATTTGACTTTAATGTATCTCTATGGCACGATCTTCCTGTGGAAAAAGAGTCTTGAGACTCCTGGGTAAACTAGCATTGTGATCGCAATAACCACCCGCCTTGGCGCACGTAGCCAAGACTTCACCAGTCAATGCACAGAGCACCGTCCGCTTAATATAATCACCTGTCTGTTGCAGGACCCAGCGCTCAGCAATTCACTCCAGTCACCCGCTCAGCGATGGTCAGTCACCACCTTGTCGCTCTTTTGCAGCTACTACCATGGTTACTGTTCCCGTGAACTTCGCTTGTTGATCACTCCACCGATGTTGAGGACTCGGTTAACAGGCACTGATTAACAATAATAAAAAATTGATATCGTGTCATCACCACCACCACACTGCAGGTCACAACTCACTCACTAACCCAGTAATGCACTTGCTTACCCCGTCACTCATTCACCCACCCACCCACCTGCTCACTCGCTCACTCACCCTATCACTCACTCACCAACCCACTCACTCACCCTATCACTCACCCACCCACTCACTCACCCACCCACTCACTCACTCGCCATACTGCAGGTCACCCCACCCCTCAATTCCCTTTCTCCTTACTCCCTAGCACTGCTCCACTCTGGAATTCCCCTCTCCTCCAGTCATCATCTCTCACAATAACCATCATCTCTCACAACAATAACCTCGCTTAACTCAGGAAACACGTTACACACTCTCACCTATTACAACTCTGGTAAAGGTGTTGTTTGTCCCTGGCCTCGTGCTCAACAGACACGTGTTACACGGCCACGTGAGTCACCGTCTGTGACCCAGCGGTGGCAGCTTGCCCACCAGAGGGGCACAGCGTTCACATCTGCCCACACATCACGCAAAGACCAACAAATCCCTAAATAACACCGAGCGTAAGATGGCATGATGGGCGTCGTTCTAGGCAATGGGCCTTCTTCATGGAACGTGGAGAGATAGACTGGCGAGAAACAGAGTGGATGATAATAATGGCGGGATTTAACGACTACAACAAAGATCACCTGTACAGCCTTGAACAGACTGTTGGGGCAAGTGCTGTTAGCGAGTAGCACGTATGAAGGCCTGCACGGCACATGGGGGGTGGGTGGCCATTACCGCATCAGGCCAACTTTTGTCTCCCTCCTGGCGATGTTTACAAATCGCACCAGGTACTCATTTGAGGCTGAGTCGATCTAGGGGAGGCCCAGGTCCAGTTCAAATATTTATCCACCATTGATCAATCGAACTCAGGTCGCTGGATTCATTGCACAGTGCAGCGCTAATCACTACACTTTGCCACTATATACACCATGTATGTTGAACTTCTTTCGCACCATGCGTAGCTGCTGGGGAAGTACAAACTGAACACAAAAAGCAGTTACAGAGAAATGAGTTTGTCAATCTAGATGATGATTTAAAAGTGTGTAGCTCCAGGGGCTTCCTAATATTGGAAGGAAAGAGAGTTCCAGACGGCTGCAGAAGCGCAATGCGGTGACTATCTTTGCTCGATGGCCAGCCAAAAGAAGTGTGTGTGTGTGGGTGCGTGTACGTGTGTCAGTCGACCCGTGGCACCCGGGTCTGCCTCGTGACCTCCTGCCAGCGGGCGTTCGACACTTCACGTGGCCTCAAGGTGCACATAGCCTGGCACAAGCGTCGTGGTGACATCACCGCCACTTAGCGGCGAATGGCGGTTGTTGTTATTGTTGTGTGTGTGATGGTTTATGCTCCTTAAAGAGATCAGCGAGGTATTGTGATTCAGTTGTGGCAAGCACTTTGCATGCGTCATGAGTGTGACCTAATTATCATAACGCTGCATTCGGCGAGCACCAGCTGAGATCTTCTTGGTTCTTTCGGTAAAGTCACGTATTATTTTTATTATTTTATTATTTCCCTTCTACGTGACTTTACCGAAAGAACCAAGAAGATGAATCCCTGCAGTCACGAAAGCTTTAAATCGAAATTTCACCAGCTAAGAGTTACATTTTTAAAACGTTTCCTGGCGCACGAATCGTTACACTGTCAGTAGCTATTGAGTGACAGACACAAAGCCTTACATAAACTAGGTATTACCGCAGTACACACGTTAAGTCTGGTTTTCATAGATGCTCATGGAAACACTCCGGCTGCGGTACTCCGTCGCACACACTCAATAAAGTTTGACTGTTTAATTATTGTTGTTATTATTATTACTACGACGTATGAGCGGGGCTCCGGTGAGACGGTTTAGAGAAACCTGACTCGAAGATGTCAGTAGGGACCGCTCTGATCGACCGCGTCCCAACAACAACAACGCGTGGTGGAGGAGAAAGAACCTGTGGTGATATGGCCTCCGTAAGCGGAACGATCCCGGACCCCTCCATCAAACTGGAAAAGCAGCGAGGTGCAAACGACCAGGCGCACATCACTGATGACTGCCCGAAGCAACCACGTGGCGAGTGACAGCTGAACCGGCCCCGTCGCCCCCCTGCACCACCGTGCACGCTGCATGGCGCGAGGAAGCATGGCCTCATGCAGCAGTGGAGCGACAAATGTCTGCTAATGAACGTAGAGGCACTCCTCACGATGCGATGGCGCCCACGCGGCACAGCAAGAAGGGGCCTGGGGTTCAGTTCCCAACTCGGGCACCTTCCCTGTATGAAGTTTGTGTGTTCTCTACTTGTTCTGCAGAGTGTGTGAGAGCGTGTGTGTGTATGGGTGAAAGCGTGTGTGTGTGAGAGCATGAGTGTGTGTGTGAGAGCATGAGTGTGTGTGAGAGGGTGAGTGTGTGTGTGAGAGCGTGAGTGTGTGTGAGAGGGTGAGTGTGTGTGAGAGGGTGAGTGTGTGTGTGACAGCGTGTGTGTGTGAGAGCATGTGTGTTGTGTGAGCGTGTGATAGAGTGTGGAGACCCAGCCAAATGCTCCGTATGGGTCGTGTTGGTTGGGGTAGTGTAGGTAGAGTTGGGCAGTGTGGTGCAGTGTGGTGCAATGTATTTCAGTGTGGAGCAGTGTGGTATGATGCAATGTGTTGCAATGTGGTATGGTGCAATGTGCTGCAGTGTGGTTTGATGTGGTGCAGTGAATTGAAGTGAGGTGCAATGAGGTGCAGTGTGGTGTGGTGTGGTAGGGTGTATTGCAATGTGGTTCAGTGTAGTGCGGTGTGGTGCAGTGCAGTGTGGTGCGGCGCGTTGCCCCGGGGCGCTCACCGCTGGAGGCCGCGTGCCAGAGTGGCAGGCGAGGGACGGGCCACGCCGGGCCAGACGCGGAGCACAGGAACGTGGCGAGGCTCGGCCGATACATCCGGCAGTTCGCTCACCCACCCACTCGCTCACTCACGCGCTCAACCACTCACTCGCTTCCCGCTCACTGGCCCGACAACTCGCTCGCCTGCTCAACCATACATTCACTCACCCGTTCGTTCACACATTCACTCGCCCACTAACTCAGTCACCCACTTGCCCGCTAACTCACTCACTCAGTCACCCACTCGCATGCTTGCCGGCACACAGCTATGGACGTAAAGGCAGATCCATGAGGAGCGTTGCATCTGTGGCAGGAGCAGTCACGAGTCACGCCGGTCGCGAGTCCAACAACTCAGAGACTCGCGCTCAGATTCACAGACTCACGCTCAAACTCACAGACTCACGCTCAGATTCACAGACTCACGCTCAGATTCACAGATTCGCGCTCCAGGACTCCACCAGCATATGCAGCCGGACTGGGGCTGTGCGCCAAACACAGCAGCAGCAGCAGCAGAAGACGACGCCACCTGCGTCAAACTTGACCCAACCCTTCCCCTACCCTCCCCACTCACCTCCCCCGCGCAACCTTCTTTACACTCACCTCCCAGCCTGCTCCACTCCCAGCACCCCCCCCCCCTCTCTCTACCACACTCCCTGCACCCCCTCCCTCTACCTCACTCCCTGTCCGTGAGTGTCGCCACCATCTGCATGACCACAAAAGGCTGCTGGAGGTGGAGGGGCAGAGGTGGTGGGGGGGGCGGTGGGAGACGGGGGGGGGGGCGGTGGGGGGGCTTAAGAATGCCAACCAATCACACTCGCTCTTGACTGGGTGTCGAGATTCAGTGTCCCATCAGCAGACCCTACTTGAGGGATGTACTGCATAGTTCGGAAGTTTTTGCTTGTGTTAAACCAATGCTGCAGGAATTGTGCACTCTCAGAAACTAAACAAAAATATTTTTTTTATTTTACCAGGTAAGGCCCCGCTCAGCTGTATATCTCTTTTTTAAGAAACGACCTGGCCACAAGTGATAGCTCGACAAAGTGGCTCATCATCATGTAGATAACAGCCAAATACTCTTAAACGCACGTTTATAAATGTGGAGGGAAAAACCGGAGGACCCGAGAAACATCCACGTGACCACAGGGAGAGAGACACCGCAAACTCCAAATATACAATCTTAATTTTGGAGCTTTCGTGACTGCAGGAATTATTCTTTGTTTCTTTCGGTAAAGTCACGTATAAAGATAAAATAATAAATTAAATAATAGCATACGACGTTTCGATTGCAACACAAGCAATCATCATCAGGTATAATGAAATAGCGACATAAAATCTAACCAGAAAACTATAGACAGACATATAAGCAGACAGATATCACCAAGATACACACAGCGGGCAACACAGGTACAGAGAGGGGTGATCGTCTCTGTGGGGTGGCCTTAAGTAGACAGAGGGGGGCGGAGGCAGCGAGAGGGAGGGGTTAGAGACAAAATTTACATGTCAATGAGTACGAAGAGACGCGTAGAGAAGTGAGCAGGCTTAGAGGGAGAAAGAAACACACTAAAATTAAATAACCTAGCAAAGTATCGAAATGTTATGTAAAACGACACAGAGAGTCGGTCAACACACAATTAACGCATAGCCTGGTCGATTACGTATTTCAAAGATTGCTAAGTTAGAATTTAAGTGTGAAAATTTCAAAGAAAGACAAAACATAAAAACAAGAGGAACGGAGACACACAGACAGAGCAGAACCTAAGAACGACAAAAAACGAGTGTATACAGAAAAAATTACACTAAATATACAGGCAGAGAGAGAGAACAAAAAACCCAGAGAGAGAGAAAAAAAGGTAAACTTGGAACTTCCCCGTAGAAGTGGTTCAAAATTAAGATTGAACCACTTCTACGGGGAAGTTCCAAGTTTACCTTTTTTCTCTCTCTCTGGGTTTTTTGTTCTCTCTCTCTGCCTGTATATTTAGTGTAATTTTTTCTGTATACACTCGTTTTTTGTCGTTCTTAGGTTCTGCTCTGTCTGTGTGTCTCCGTTCCTCTTGTTTTTATGTTTTGTCTTTCTTTGAAATTTTCACACTTAAATTCTAACTTAGCAATCTTTGAAATACGTAATCGACCAGGCTATGCGTTAATTGTGTGTTGACCGACTCTCTGTGTCGTTTTACATAACATTTCGATACTTTGCTAGGTTATTTAATTTAGTGTGTTTCTTTCTCCCTCTAAGCCTGCTCACTTCTCTACGCGTCTCTTCGTACTCATTGACATGTAAATGTTGTCTCTAACCCCTCCCTCTCGCTGCCTCCGCCCTCCTCTGTCTATTTAAGGCCACCCCACAGAGACGATCACCCCTCTCTGTACCTGTGTTGCTCGCTCTATGTATCCTGGTGATATCTGTCTGCTTATATGTCTGTCTATAGTTTTCTGGTTAGATTTTATGTCGCTATTTCATTATACCTGATGATGATTGTTTGTGTTGCAATAGAAACGTCGTATGCTATTATTTCATTTATTATTTTATCCAAATATACAGCAGGCTTCAGGGTCGGGATCGAACCCAGGGCCTCCTATATAGCAGGCCAGATAGTTGCCACCAGCCCTGACTGATTTGGTGTCGTACAGAGTCGCGTTGGGTAACTCAGCAGCGATGCCACACAAGTCCACGAGGGGGCGACTCGCCACCGATGTAAGATCCACGGGAAAAAAAAACTAAAAAATAAAAAGCCACAAGGAGTGCGATTTGTGGTCAATGCAACCCTAACTACGGCCCGTGTAGTAAACCCATAGAGACACAGAGAGACCCACAGAGACCCATACAGGCTCGTAATCTGCAGAATGGGGGGAGAACATACAACCTGTGCTCCTATAATACCGCTTGTTTTCTTAACGTAAATTGGATATAACGCGATGAATGTATTAGGGAAAAAAATGTATAACACGGAATGCGAATTGATCGAGTGAAAGGGAGTACGTCCCTTGAGTAGGAATAAACAGTTGTATGGCTGGCTTGGCGCAGCATCATCACACGAGGCGTTGGGATGCTGCTGGATGCTTCCAGACTTTTCCGAGCCTCAGTTTTTCTTCGGGCTGTGTTACACATCTCACGCATTATTGCGGACTGTCCTTTATCCCTATACTATTATATATTACTTATTATAACGCGATTTTTCCATAACGACCACGGTGTTATCAGAGAACAGACTGTACAGACTCCACGCAGAAAGGTGCCCGAGTCGGGAATCGAACCCAGGTCCCTTCTTGCTGTGAGGAGGCGCTGGAGGCACGCAGTCGAGGGGATAACCCCTGGCTTCGGGGGCATACGCTGGGCGCCGGCGCTCCCTGCAGGTGCGGCCCTCACCGCCTCTGAGCCAGCGGCACAGGCTCCAGGCCACAGCCATCTTCACGGGACCCAGGGTATCACTCCTCATGGAGACCGGGTCACAGTCCTCCTTACGGAGACTGCTCCTCATAGGGACCAGGAACCACTCCTCATGGGGCCATTCCTCACAGGGACCGCTCACTCCAGAGGGAAGTACACAGCACTACGTGGCTACAACGTAGCCAACACAACGAGACAACGGCCCCGGTGACACCCGATCGCCGCCCCGGTGCCAGCCAATCACCGCTCCGGTGCCACCCGATCACCGTGCCGATGAGAGAGTGGCCCTAGCATCCCAAACACAGCGTCAATTAAAACGACAGACAGGACAGCTATGTGCCGCACCGCTCCTGTTAAGAGCATAAAATGTAAGTTGACTCGTTAATCCACCCCCCCACTTTGCGCAAGAGCGCAGAAGCGTGGTCACCACATCTACGCCTCTATATAAGGAACGAAACAGGTGGACTTCTCCACAAATCTGGCTGTCGCCTGATGAAGCTAGTTGTAATTACTGACGAAACGTCGTACTCAGATTGTAAATATTGTGGCTTGGCTCTGAAATACACCGATTAGTGCTGTACTAGTGACGAATTGGCATGTTCTGTTGACGTGACAACACTTACTAAGTTGGCTGTGTCGGGTGGTGGCGGGTTTTAGCGGCGCATTTATATATTTACACAATCTAACCCAGAAAACCTCTATTATGGATGATATTGGTCGCGTAAGCCTCCGTGTTAAGCATTGTTGTTGTTTATCAGACGCTCGTTTACCCAGCAAAGCCTCGCTGAGACTCAGCATGCCTCTTTCAGGAGGGTCCTGCCAATTTTTGTTCGCAGCGGGGGGGGGGGGGGGGGCGATGATGATTCTGTAGCCGTGTGATGTGATCCAAACGGAGTGGTTTTCAGCCAGTGGAGTGATACTTCATTGCGTACGCGGAGTCTTTCTAGCTCACCGTGGCAATGCAGCACTCTCCTGAGAGCGATCGCGACGTTTGGGGCCTTTGGGCCTGTGCTCGGCAGCGGCCGTGTACAGAAAGCCTGGCCCACCCCTCCGAGGGCGACCGCTCTAAGCTACTGGGGAGGGGATTGAGATGGGGGGCCCCTACACCCCCACACCGGGAAGGGAGGTAACAGTCCCTGGCGGGAGCTCATCAGGAGTCCCCTCCACGAGTGAATCGTTCCACCGTCGTAACGAGCAGTGAGGGTCGGCGCACGGAAGCACGGCTCCCTTCCGTGCAGGCCGGGAATCGGCGACCAGAGAATTCAGGAGATGGCAGTGGTGGCGTTGCAGTGGCGATGCTGGCGCCTCCTCACAGTGAGAAGGGGCCTTTCTGCATGTAGATTGCCCCCCCCCCCCCCCCCACCGTGTTCTTTGTGGGTTTCCCCTGGGATTCTACGGTTTCCTCCTCCAAATGTACCTTGCAAATCACTCAATTGAGATCATAGAGAAGCAGACACTTTCACTCTGCAGAACAGGGGGAGAATATACAAACGCCACACTCTGCAGAACTGGGTCCAAAAAGACATCCCAATGCCGAAATAAAAAATAACTTGTAAACAACGGAAATGGGATCACACACAGCGGCAGCAGCGGCAGCAGCAGTGGCAGCAACCACAACCACAGCAACCACCACCACAGCGTGTGTCCCCAACTTCAAAACTTGGCAGGGTCCCTCCTTAAAAACTTTTCTGCGCGTGCGCACACACACAAGTGTTATCGTCGCACGTTCGCTCCACACATGTGAGAGCGTGTCAATCAAGGTCCCTGCACAAGCTTGCGGTAGGGGGTTGGGTGGGGGGGGGGGAGGGTGGGGGTGAACTCTCCAGGTGAAATGTTTTAATCACAGACAGCAAAGCACTTTGGAGCGCGGAGGGACGGCAAGGGGGACGGGCCTTCTGGGAACGCAGTAGGGTAATGCGTGGCTTATGATAATGAGCGATTAATAAAGGCATCAGCAGATCAGGACCGGGCCACGATTACTCATTATCCACCAGGGTCATGACCCCGACTCCCCGTCCCCGCACCGATTTAAATTGCGGTTCGAGGCATCGTCCGAGATTTGTGATGGGATGTGTTCGTGCAGCATGCTCCAACGGAGAATTTTTCGAATTTTTGCGAACAC